CATAACGTTAAAGGTACAAATTGAAGTTGTATCATAGGGAAATGATACCATTATGTTGTGGTACAACTTCAAGTTGTGAATTTGTACCAGAACATAAAGCTGGTACAACTTTAGTTGTACCATAAAAGGATTTTACAAAACAGCAGAGATACAACCTAAAATTGTACCATAACGTTAAAGTACAACTTTAAGTTGTACCATAAAGGCAACAATTAAAGCACCAATGGTTTAAAGCACTGTAAAATTCCTCTTGGCCAATAGGTATGTTGTCGAGCCAAGAGGAGTCCTGGAGAATGTCTTGGTAAAATGTGCTTATTTTGTCTATCCTATGGATTTCGTGGTTCTCAACACGGAAGCTATAAGATGGCTTCAATACATTCTTAGCCACGGAAAGGACTATCATTGATGTGAATAGAAGCAAGATCACTTTAAGGTTTGGAGAGGATGAGACAAGCTATAAGATGACTTCAATCCCCATTTTGCACAAGTACTTTAAATGGGAAGATGTCAAGATGGATTGTGAGCTGGTTACACCTCCTACCATACCGCATTCAAGCACCGAGATAGAATGGTTCAATATGGTCGCTCATGTTGATCGCATGATAGTAGAGATGAAGGTCCAAGTGATTCTTGCAAGCTTATAAAGAGACAGGGTAAAGAAGAATTTTCTCACAAAAGAGAGAATCAAGAGTTACTCAAAGTTTCTCATCGAGCCAATGATTGTAGAAGGAAGCTAAAGAGGTTCTTCTTTGAAGAGAGATACCCCAAGGGAAAAGGTCAAGATGTTTAGAACAACCTAGCTCCTAAACTTGAAGATGAAGAATTCGGAGAATGCTATAAGTACTAGTCGTATTAGTACTTATATTATATATCTATGTTACCTGTAACTCTCATTCGTCTTCTTCTCTTTCTTATGCACTTTATCATTGTGAAAACCATCAAGAAGACAAAGACCTACACTTGTGTACCTTCACCAATCCACAACCCAACCTATGGTAACCTTCACGATCTTCTCTTATGAATCTCCCACATTGAGGACAATGTGTTGCTCAATTGTGGGGGATGTGTTTGAATGTTTGAATGATTATCGTGATTTATTGAACCATGAATTGCTATTATTCTCCCTTGCTTATGAGTGTAAGACATTGATGAATACCTATGGGAGTGTATGCCAGCAATTGCATTTGTGTTGTGGTGATTAATGGTCAAATGATAGTGTCTTGGAACCTTAAATTCATTACCCAAAAAATTTTAAATTTGAGGGTTCCAATTCACGTTGTTCCTTACAACTTCCTACTCGATATGCTATGATTTGATAGGTAATTGATTTTTTGTGCTTGTTAGGTGATAATTGCATGATTAGAGTACCGGTGTATGAGGGGTTCTACTATTTTGTTCCTCTTGTGTGAGTTGATAATGTTTGCTATATTAAGAAGAACATGTGTGCTGGATTCTCTTTGGTTTGTCTAGTGAACTCAAAGTTTTACAAGTTTGTGCGTATTAGAAAAGAAAGAAAAGAGAGAATAATCTTTTTAAAATGAAGTTCCGACGTGACAGGCAACCAATCCTCACGGATTCGGAGTGACCTTTGAGGATATGCTTGGGGATCGGATAGCTCTACCGCATCCCGACCATTTTTCACTACTTACCATCAACCACTCATCTTTCCTCCTCACGGAATCTTATGCCAAAGTCCAAAGTACCTTCTACGATTAATGAGACCTCATAGCTCTCGTTTGTACCCAACATGTGTGGCAACCCAATGTGGAGTGCAGGCTGGGAAGTGGTGTTAACGCTAAGACGAATCCGCCCATAAAATTCCCCACATGTGACCTTGAAAGGGAAGGCTGTGATTCATCCGCCCTTTCTCATGAGGGAGAGATGCTAGTTTACAAAAGAGTTTCAAAATCTTGGTGCAATGTGCGTCAACGTCGTAAAAGGAGACAAAAAAAATGACAAATCCTAAAAATCTTAAGAGAGAAGAAAGAGCACATTCGAGAGTTTGTGCTTGCACAGTAAGATGATAGCAACTTTCATTCGTCTTCGTCTACTCTTCTTTATGTAGTAAAGAACTAGAGTGCATTCCCCATTATTTTGTCTATCATGTAATTGCATTGGTTTGAGTAGGTTTGCTTGGGGACAAGCAAATGCCTAAGTTTGGGGAAGTTTGATAACACCTAAATGGGTGTTATTTACCCTTCATATCAAGGTTTGTTTCGTGCCAATTCATGTGCATAAGGTTTTGAACAATGTCAATTGCATCTCTATTTTGTTCCTATTTGATTTCATTGTGATTTTAGGGTGCTTTAGACAATACATGCGAATTAGGTACAAAATAAGGTCACAAGTGTAGCAAATGAGGCAGAGACTGAAGATCGCAGTTTGTAACCAAATATCACAACCGAGAACCATGCCTGGGAAGTCAAGCCAAAGATCGCGGTCTGGAAGCCCAAGATCGTGGTCGCAATTTGGACGGCTCATGGCGCGAATTTCGTGAGGAAGCGGCCGATGGGAAATAGAGAGTTTCCCCAAGAAGAACACGACCGAAGCACAAAGTGACCTCGAGGAAGTTTGGGGCCGCGAATTGTGGATCGCGACCGCGAAGTCAGCCCACGAAATCCTCATTCCTGAAGGCCGAAACGACATCATCTCGAGATAGCGACCTCTGGGCAGAAGATCGCACCCGTGATCTCGACCCTTCCTGCCCCCGATCTTCTCCGTCCTTTGATGCCTATAAATAGATCCTCCTTTCCCCCATTCAAGAGAGCTGATTTTGAGATAGAATTTCTGGTTTTAGAGAGAGAGATAAGAGCGAGAAGTTGAAGGAAGGAGAGGAGGAGAAGATAGAGAAGGAGGTAGAAGAAGAGGAGGCCTCTTCTTCAACACCAAGGTTTCTTCCACCTCTTCTATGTATCTTCTTCCTTCCTTTATGGAGTAGTCCTCTAAGGTACTAAGGGTTTTAAACCTCAAACCTTAGTTTTAGGGTTACCATGCATGTATGGATATTTTAAGGTTTTAATAAATAAATGTATTTATCTAGTTGATTTGCATGCTATTCTATCTTTGATTGTGTTTGGGTAAGTCCCCTTAATCTTCTCCACTAGCCTACTTGAGTTTCTACGCGGGGTATAGAGTTTTAGGGTTAGACGGGTTTGCAGCATCAAGCAAATTGAGTTTAGATGTATGAATAGGATCATATGATGGTTGAGGCAACCGAACCCCTGCCATAGGAATACCTTCCTAAATATAACTCGGGATGAAACCTCGGTGTGGACAGTAGGTAGTACCCCTTGAAAGGAGATACGAGCTTATTGCCTATATACGATAGCCTAGATCGAGGTGACTATAAATGGTTTAGGAAATACGTACTAGGAGGCGTGTGGATAACCATGAAATCCCACGAAAAAGAGCTCAATCACCACTTTCGACAAACCCTAAGTATCTAGACATTGCATAGTAGTCCTTAACTAGGGTGAGTGATAGTTCCCATAAGTACATGCTTTTATCTTTATAGTACATGCTTTTATCCTTATTGGATCTCTTAACTAGTAGTTCACTCATATCCTCCAAACAAAATCCTTAAACCAATTGGCTAAATAACAACAACGTGGGAAGTAGGCTAGGGTACCAGGACTCGAGTAAAATACGATCTTGATTGCCACTATACGACAACGCCATTTTAGGTTAAACTTGGCCTAGGATAGGGTATTTGTTGATATGTGCTAACCATTAACAATAACTTGCATGGATGAAATTGCCCAATCCAAATTGTGACATTGCTTCCCAGGTCGTCAGATTGGTGTACCTTTCTGTTTTATCCCGTTTTGACCTTCAATCATTGTGAAACTCATCCCTTAGTCTAATCCACATAATAGGAATTAAAATATGACATAAATATACAACAGTCCGTAAAATCAGCTTATATAAGTGTGTTTTAAACCCAAATGATTAAGAAATGACCTAAGAAAAGGCCATAGGGGATAACATATGTATCATTATGCATGTATCAATCATACATAAGATGTCTATTTGTTTTGTTGTAGTTTTATTCATATTACAATATATGTTTGGCATGTCCAAATCTTAGTCTACATTTAACGAGTTTTATCATTTAGGCATTGAATTAAATCAAAGTTTGTAACATGCTATCATAACATAGCCTCTAATAAGCGAACTCGAGGAAGTCGTCTTACTGCATTGTCGGAGCTATCTTAGAGGACGTTCTCTTTCTCTCCTCTCACTTCGAGCCAGTCTCGTGTTTTTTTTTCTCTTTGGAGGTTCAACGGAGTAGGGGTGGGCATCCGGTTAGGTAAACCCGAACCGAACCGGACTGAAACCGAATTGAACCGAACCGAAACCGAATTATTGTTGTTCGGTTCGGAATTCGGAAGCCAAAACCATTTGTTTCGGAAACCAGGTGTATGCAGACCGAAACCGAATTTTGAACAACCGAACCGAGAAACCGAACAAAAAATTTAACCCACAATACTACAACCCAACTGACTACTCAACCTCTCACAAAGCCCAATTCTTTCACAACCCAAATAAAACACAAATCCCTCCCAGCCCAAATCAAACAAAGCCCAAAATTAATCCCTTAAGCCCACAACTTCTCCATCCCTACTACTAACCCAACCCTAACAAAGAACACCAAATCCTTGACCCAAGCCGCCAACGACCATCCAACATCACCGTCGTCCGCCGAATCCTCCTCTCATCCGCTGGCTTTGCCACCAACTCATCCTCACCAGCCACTGGATTTCGATGCCATTTCCCATCTCTCTGCTCCCTTCTCCTCCCTGAGATAAAAAACCCAAATCCAAATATAAAACCCCAAATGCATCAAAATCAATATTGAAAATCAGAACTTTCTTCTCCAAAATCCAAGCTTTCTACTCCTGAATCGAAAAGAGCAACAATGCTACTGAAACTCGAAGGTGAAAATCAAACAGAAAAACGACATGCATGCTTGGATCTACAACCATACTGACCTCTAACATTCAATCGTCGTACCCGCCTGCCGCTGCGTTGTATTCTAGCTTCTGCATCAATCGCGGTTGCCGGTGAGTCGTGAGACGGAGGAGATACCACCGTAGCACCGCTGCTTTCTGTTCGCCGCCGAGTCGCGAGTCGGAGGAGATACCATCGCCGCAACTCGATGTTTCTGCTCGCCGCTGAGTCACGAGACGGAGTAGATACCACCGCTGCGTTCTGCTCGCCGCCGAGTCGCGAGTCGGAGGAGATACCGCCATCGCAGCCTGCTGTTTCTGCTCACCGATGAGTCACGAGATGGAGGATATTCCACCGCAGCATCGTCGCTTTCTGATCTACATCGATTGCGTTTGTTGGAGGGGGGAGAGAGGGAGAAATGGAGATACATGAGGGTTTGGGTGTATGGGAGAGAGAGAGAAAGTGCGGTGGTTTATAACTCTTCGTGTTTGTGTGTTAAAACCGAACGGAACCGGTATTTAATTCGGTTCGGATGAACCGAACCGACTTAAATTTCGGTTCGAATTCGGTTTGCCTCACAGACACTTTCGGGGACCCGGTATATTCAGTTTCGGTTCGGTTTGAACCGAATCGATGCCCACCCCTACAACGGAGCTGCTCACCTCGTGAAAAAACAAGCTATTTCATCGCGAGTCCGGTTGCATACAGACTATCGTTCTTTGTTGTTGTCTTCATTGTAATATTTTTGTCCGGCCATGCCCTGGGGGCTTATCTTGGTTAAAAAAAACTTCTAGAATGAGAATTATAATAGTGTCTCGGCTTTAAGGGTTGTGTAGTTCATCGCTGCTTCGATGGAACTATAAATTTATAAAGTGAAAGCGCACTCACTAGTCAATCTTAACAAGGTCATGTATAACCAAGCTAGGGATGTAGTAAAATGGCCTGGTCGTAATCCAAGGCTCACTGTATCCTAAGCTACTTAGGCTCGCTCGCTATCTAGTCAACATGTTACTAAGCAGGTGGGTAGTTGGCGATTCCTAAACTAAAGATCGATAGATGAGAAGAGGTACTCGAGGTAACTCCCTCGCTCTAGCCTAGGTCTATCATGCAAACGTCTAAATATGTCTGGGTTAAGCAAATGTGGTGAGTGAGCTCTTTTTAGGGCATTCGTGATTCTCCATACGCATCTGAGTACGCCCTACCTACCATATTGTCACCTCGGTATAGGCTCACGTATTTGCGACTTTAAGAACATAGCTCCTTTCAATGGGTACTACCCACCGTCCACACTGAGATTTTATCCCTCGTTCTATCTAGGAAGGTGTTCTTTTGGTAGGGTTTCGATCGTCTCATCCACCACAAGACCCAATGCACTCATCTAACCCTAATTTGCCAGATGGCGCATACACGTCAACCCTAAAATTCAATACTCAACATAGAAGCTCAAGTAGGCTTGTAGAGAAGATTAAGGAGACTTACCCAGGCACAATTACAGCTAGAAGAATAATTAAAACCAAATAGATAAACAAATTCATGAAAATGCCTAACATATTCATTCATCTACACAATAGCCCTAAAACTAGGGTTTGGGGATTTAAGCCAATTGTACCTTGGCAGATCACCCCATGAAGAGGGGAAGAAAAGACATACAAAGAGGGGAAGAAATCATGAACAAATGGGTCTTCAAGTGGTGGAAGTCTTCCTCCAATTCTTCTCCTCCTCCTCTTCTCCTTCATTCAGCTGCTCTCTCTAATCTCTCTCTAGAATCAGAAATCTGCCAAAATCCATCTTCTAAAGGGGGAGGAGTCCCCTATTTATAGAATTTTACAGACACCGGCAAGCTCACGTTCAAGGGGCTAAAGATCGCGACCATGATCTAGAGGTTGCGATCTTAAGGGCGAGTTCACAAGCAAGGTGAAGAAGATCGCGACTGGGATCTTTGGGGTAGAAGTTGCGATTTTTGAGGGTCACTGTTTTCGCCTTTGCTAAATGTGGAGTTCACGGCCTAACATCCTGGTCCAGATTCGGGGTGTCACGACCGCGGTCCTTATTGCAAGCACAAAAGTCGTGGACCGTAAAATGATGGCCGAAACTTTCTGCTTCACCCAAGTTGGCCTCTTCTGAAGTTCACACACTTGGCTCCAAAGTTCGTGGGCGTGAACTTGAGGTTGCGATCTTCAGGTCAAGTTCACGGGCGAGAGGCAGAAGATCGCGACCTGGATCTTTGCACTACAGGATGCGATCTTGTGTTTTGGTTCATGCCCTCTCTTCATGGCTGTGATCTTGGCTCTGAAGGCTGGGATCTTGTGTCCTTCGGCCATGATCACCATTTTTGCCACCTCTTTCTACCCTTGTGCACCTTTTTTGTGCATAATTGAAATGTATCATCTAAAGCTCCCTAAAATAATGACATAATCAAATAAGAACAATATAGGGATGAAATTGACGATAGTCTTTCGATTGTGCACATGAATTAGCACGAACCAAACCTAAATAGGAAGGTTAAATAACACCAATTTAGGTGTTATCAAACTCCCCCACACTTAGGCTTTTGCTGGTCCCCAAGCAACCCTACTCAAATCAATGCAACTTGATAGAAAAATTGACGGGGAGTGCACTCTAAATCTTCATTTCATAAAGAAGAATAGACGGAGACGAGTAAAGGTTATTATCATCTTACTTTACAAACACAAACTCCCTAGTGAGGACCATACCTACTACCTCAGGATGAACATTCAAGGCATGCACCGGGGGCTTCTCAACAACAATTCAGCACAAGAACTCTTGAAGTTGCCCTTTATTCTTTATTTCAATGTAGGAGTTGTCATTTATTGGTCTCCTTTTTCAATGTTGACTCATTGCACCAAACTCTTACAAACTTTTTGCAGGCGAGCATCTCCCTCGTATGACCAAGAGCGGATGGATCATTGCTTTCCCTATGAAATGACCCTTGGTTCATACAAGTGATATGTTGAGTTGTGACTAACTATAAGAATTGCATGGTCACCTAAAGCAAACTTAATGGCGCCCTGTAATGCCCTCATTATTAGTGAAAAGAGGCTTCAAGCCTAAGAGATAAAATAGTTATACGAGAACTCCTTTTGAGGAGCAATGCCAGGCCTGGCTATGAGTTTATGAGATATGGCACCATGTGCTCCACGAGTTTATGAGTTCATGAAATATGGCACTATGTGCCCACGAGTTCACGAGTTCATGAGATCTGGCACTTTGTGCCTATGAGATTACGAGTTCACGAGATCCTGGGGAGTGCATGAATTGGCAAATTAAAGAATAAAATCTACTGAATCCAGCTAACTATATGTATGTTAGTGATTGGATGTTGATACATGGTTGATCTTGGATGAAATATGAGCACTAGAATGTCAATCTTAGTATTAGTCATGTTTTCGTGATATGTGATTGAGATGGCAATCTGAGTATTTGCTATATTTGATATATAGAATGTGAACCCTTACATGAAACATGTGAAGGTTGATGTATTTTGTATGTGATATGAAGTTATATTAGGTATATTTTGTGATAATCTTTTATGACGAGTGGTACTATGATTAATCAGGGAACTGTTTTGTAAGCAGTTATGATATGTTGATTTAATTATGATACTGTGATGAGATGCTGATGTGTATAATGTTATGTGTCTATAACACATCCCATAATGCAGTGTTAATAGAAGTGCATAGATATGATGGAAAATTCCGTATAGTGTATGAGAATAAATATGAACTATTTGCAACACCAGGTAGGGTAAAATAAAGGTGAAACCCTACACGAATCATGTATGACATATAACGTATATGTGAAAGATCGAATGGACGAGGGAAGAAATTTTGTGTAAATCTACATAGGTGATACATATCAAGTGATTAAATATGCACCGAATTTAATGGGCAGAAGACACTCCGAGTCACAACATAGCCTGATATCTTCTCGTATTAATATTTATATTAGGTTATTATTTACTCATTGAGTGACGTCTCATCCCTTCATTATTTTTTCCTCACAGGACTAGAACGACATCAGTAGAGCGAGACAGATGAGTGTTGTCGGCCAAATGCCTAAGAGGTGGGTTTTAACAATTTTTCAATTAAGAGTTTGTTTTAAAAATTTTGCAAGCTAAGGCTTAAGACAATACTGGTTTTAAATACAACTTCATTTTTCTATGCACTTCATATAAAGATTGTAAGTAAACCCAGCCAAAATTGGTCAAGGGAAATATTAGGAACATGAATACATGATAGGGTGTTATAGTGAACCATCAAACCCGTCTGTGAACTCAAGGTGTGCGCCAAAACGCTCCGCACCACTCACGTCTGTTCACGGGCAACTGTTTGTGTTCACGATCTTAGTGACAGTGAACTCACCTTGCGTCAGTAACCTTCAAATTGGCTCTGGATGCCTTGCGATTCACGCTCAACTCCCCTTCTTCACGGTCTTGCATGACCATGAACTCCTTCAGTTAGCCGTGAACTGGCTCTTTTTCACCTCTTTTCCCGGTTTTCGATCCTTTTTGCCAATCTTTCGACTCCGAGGCTGGTTTCACCTGTTAAATCCTGAAACACACTCAAACATGAAGAACCTAGCATAAAACCAACCTTTAAGGAGCGAATTTGGCACAAACATCTAAGTAAAACGGGGGCAAAACATGTGCAATTAGGCCCGAATCACTTAGGCAATTCATTGTCTCCTATCTAGGTTAATGTAGGGCAACCCTCTTAGTTCGTATTAGCACCTAGGGTTGGGTTGTGAGAGGCCATCCGAACACCGATTCGAGGTTGAAGTCTTGGCAACCCTTATTCAATAGGTCAAAAGAGTCATATTGGTGGCTTGAATCAATTCCCTCAACCTAGAGAGGGAGAGAGTGGCGTTTGGCTACTTGTTGCACTTCCCTACGATTTACAACCATCTTACCCCACATGACCATTCGATCCGACAAGTCACAATTGTTAGCTAGGGGGAACAACACCCGGGGGAAGCCTTCTCAATTAGTGTCAAATCCATTTACTTTTCCAAACGTTTTAGCTATAAATCATTGTTTTCACCAAAAATCAATCGCTAGATAATGTTTCAAAAAACGAAGTAGGGGTACATGAACTGGCATGAGTCGACATTTAAACATACTTTCTCTATATTGCACTCAGTTAAGGTTTATACTTGGGCCTTAATTGGAAGTTTTATTGTGGTATTCAGGACGAGTCCATTTTTTAGTGCCGTTGCCGAGGAACCAACGGTTCATTATTATTTTGAAATGATTGTTTGTTTTTAATCAAGATTTTACTTTTCTCTTTTGAGTTTGTGAATCTTGCTTGTGCTAGACGAGTTTTGGTTCTTTTGAGTGTGTGTAGGGAGGTGGCGGAGGCAAGAAGGAGGATAAAGAGGAAGGTGTAGTTGATGAAGGTTTTGAATCCAAAGAGGAAGAAAGTGAAGCTGAGATGGCGGCTAATCAACCGCTAAAGGTGGAGCGACCGCGGAGGAGAAACCAAGGACCATGGGCTACTACATGGCTCCAAGGGCGGCGGATATTCAACCTGCCATTCGACATTCGCCCGTGGTCGCCAACAATTTTGAGATCAAGCTCGCCTTTTTCACCATAATTCAAAACAATGCCTTATTCCATGGTCTTAGCAACAAGTCTCCAAGGGAGCATGTTCAGAAGTCCAATAAACTTGCGGGGAGTTTGAAGATCAATGGGGTCCCTGAGGATGCTTTGAAGTTGAGACTATTCCCCTACTCTCTTGCGGGAAGATCTATTGTAGTCTACTCCCACCTTACGCGGAAGCATTTACGCGAACGAGTGGACGACAGGGACCTTATGAATTTCCCGTATAGTCGTCACGCCATTTCAACTCGATACTACATCAACCACCATTGGAACCTCCTTTTCTCTGCCTCATTCTATCTAGTTCTATTCTACATAAAATCTCAATTCGTCATGACTCATGACCTAAAACCTCACTCTATTAGTGATTCTGCTCTTCCCCGTTAGGACATCCTCCTCCTTCAGACTCCTCATTTTACTTGTCTATCAAAATCTGGTCCCAATTTTTATATACAACACAATAAAACAATAGTTTACAGGTAGGCATCTTGAAATTTTTGGAACTAGGAACGTTTGAATTCCATACACTTTCCCATTGGGGCACTAAAATGTCATGAGAAAAGTAACTTTCTAACGAAAAACTTGTGTCGTCAGTAATATCCATCTTTTTAGTGACCACATAAAAATATCATCAGTGATTGTAAAATTTTCCATTAGTAATGACCATTTTTGAAGGATGTGATTCCAAACGGTTATTATTTGTGACTACTTTCAATCTACCGTCAGAAAAAATCAAAACTATTGGCAGTGAGCAACTATCTGTTAAAAGAATTATTATTTAAAACAAAATCGTATAGCCATCAGTAGTACGTTGTCAGAAAAGATCATTTTTGTTGCCAATGGATCAAGTCATTGGACATATTAAGTACTACCAACCGCAATGAGTAGTCATTGTCGCAAACACTCCGTCTGCGGCGTGGCTCCCAACTCGAATGTGAATTCAGTAGAGTTGCCACCAATCTCTTGAAATTGATTGAGCACTAGAAAGTCAAGCCCAAATTTGATAATATTTAAACCCGATTTGAGTCTACCAAATTGATTAAAGGATTTTGGGGGTTAGTTACGAGTAAGGAATGTATTAGCACCCTTATATCGCACTAAGTTAGTACTATATATTTGATTTCTCTTTCTTACTTGATATTTTTTGTTTTAAAAATAATTTGGATTTACTTTCAAATATGTGATGTTGCTTATAAAATTTTATTAACTTGGGATCAAACGTATTGGTATGATGATTCTAAAAAAGATATTTTTAGGCTAAATTGCAAGTTTGGTAACTTGAATTATTAGTAAAGTTTACGTTTGTCACTAGAATTAATTTATTCCATCCGCAGTCACTTAAATTAGTTACACAGTTTAAGTTCGGTCACTCTCCGTTAGTCTCCGTTAACTTTCACTAATGTGACAGTCAACTCTGAAAGTTGACTGTTAAATAAGTGACGTGGCAATTAAAAAATTATTTAAAAATAAAAATTAAATGAGAATTTGAATTGAAACATTGGACTGGGTTTTTCTTTGTATTGGGGTTGAATCATATAGATAAGCCTCCGTTTCTTATCTGGTTTTCTTTTTTTGTGGGGTGATGATTAGTTGGTGGAGAAGGATCCGGAGAGAGGAATTCCCCTGTTCTGGGCTACCATAAATGTAGGGGATAGAGTGGACAGCTCCCTGAAAGATATGGCGATTGTGATAAAGCAACTCCGAAATCGCCGAAATCATCTAGATCTGTTCCCCCATCCGATAAGATCAGTACCTGGATTCCTTGTTGATGTTAGTGAATTGAATCGCCCAGTTCATGGCTGAAACATATTTTTAATTGAATCTCCTTCAAAATCTTTTCTCTTCCCATGACCTTTGTTAATGTGTTTCTGCGAGCTGCGAGCACAGTACTGAGCGGCGAGGGCGAGGCGCTAGTGCTCGTACGAGGTAGCATCGAGCAGGTCCAGGTGGCAGTGGAGGAGGTCGAAGAGGAGCAAAAGGAGGAGGAGAGCGGCGTCGAGGTCGAGGTCGCGGTGATGGAAGACAATGGGCGGCGGCGGAGGAAGAGGGGAGAAGTGCGAGGTGATGTGGTGGTTTGGTGGAGGCAGGATAGGAGGTGTTTGGCTACGCGGTGGGTTTTCAAGGGAGGGAGAGGGAGTGAAGGTGGGAAAGGGTGAGGGAGAACGCGGTGGGTGAAGTGAGGAGGGCGGAGCGGGGCGACTGTCGCTTAGGGAGAGGATTGAGGATCAGAGTCTGGCAACGGCGGTTGTAATTAGGCTAAGGAGTTGGAGGGTTAACTTTTTCGATTTTGGTTTTAGTTAAAATTATTTTGAAAATGAGGTGGAGATTGTAAAACATTTATTTTATTATTTTGGTATCTTTGTAATTGCCACGTCATACATTTAACGGACAATTATTAGCGTTGACTGCCACATCAGTGAAAGTTAATGAGACGAACAAAGAGTGACCAAACTCGAACTGTGTAACTAATTTAAGTGACTACGGATGAATTAATTCTAGTGGCAAACGTGAACTTTAATAGTAATTCTAGTGACCAACCTTGCAATTTAGCTATATTTTTTTTTATGATGAATGTATTCTAAGATAATTATACTCTCATGAGTATTATATTGTTTATTTTATTGTATATTACATGTTCATCGACAAGTAAGTATCTGGGAAGAGATGTTAAATAATTTGATGATTTTAGGGGAAATTTAATTTTTTATTGGGGTAATATTGGCACGGTACGAAGTGGGGCGAGTTACCCATTGATAGTTAACTCTTTTACGAGCACATATTAAACAAACACTACTACATCAATGAATGAGAAATATAGTAGAATGAATAGTCCAAATATTTTAAAGATAGAATTTTTGAAACTTTTTTGCTACTAAAACTTGTTTTGTAAATTTTATAATGTAATAGTTATGTGGTCTAATGGTAGCCAAGCTTAACTTATGTCTAAAGCACAAAGGTTTGATCCACATTCGTTACATAATTTTTTTATTATTATTTTCGCCCCCCCCCCCCCCTCCCGTCTTGAAATCCTTTCTCCGCCCCTGTGTTTAACGCTTGTGGTGTGCTTTATGGTGTTTCTGGTTCTCTTTGTAAAATTTGCAGTGTGGTTTCTCGTTGTTATGGTCTTTTCGTAAGAGTTGTGTTGTGATTTCACATATTTATGGTATGCTTCATAATGTTTATGGTATGGACTATGAGATTTGTAGTTTGCATTGTGTTTAGTGCTTGTGTGTACTTTATAACATTTCTGGTTTGATATATCATCTTTCTGGTTTGCTTCATGAGAATTATGGTGTGATTTCACATATTTGTGATCTTCTTCATTAGGTTTCTGGTACGGACGTAGAGATTTGTGATTTGCATTTTTTAGCACCTGTGGTATACTTTATAGCATTTATGGTTTGCGTAGTGAGGTTTATGGTGTTATTTCTTGTCTTTCTGATCTACTTCATGAGACATGTTGTGTGTTTTCTCATATTTCTAGTATACTTCAATAGGTCTCTGGTCTAGACCAAGAGATTATATTATGCATTGTGTTTAGTGATTGGGGTTTACTTTATAGCGTTTGTGGTTTGTTTAATAAGGTTTATGGTGTGCTTCCTCGTTTTTCTGCTTTGTGTTTCTGGTGTACTTTCTCGAGTCTGTGGTGTGCTTCGTGACATTTATGACTTATGCTTTACCTCTTGAAGCTTTGATCAATTGATATTTTCATCCTTTTTGTTTTTTTCTCAGAAAAACAAGTATCAAGTCCATGAAAAAAGAGAGGCTCTGATACAATGTTAATCAATAGCACACAAATGAATACAAGAACATAGAGATAAGATTTACGTGGTATCCTCAGCAATTAACGTTCAGACTAATCTACGCCACAATGGTAGAGAGACTTCTTACTATCATAATTATGTACACTTACATACACTACCATACAACCATATATATACTTGGTCGACATAATCCTTGCGGCAGCTTACTTTTCATAATTATTGTTAGAATATGACTTGAATTTGATTTTGGTTTGTTTTTATGTTTTGGGCCTATTTTGTTTAGGTTTCTGTTTGGCTTTGTTATGACCTTTCCTTGTATGTTTCGGAAAAAGTGTTTGTTTTTTTGTTTGGGATTAGAAGAAGAGTTCTATAAATAATCTTCACGACCTTAATCTTTAGTAAAGTCAGTCATGTTAGTTTGTTTGGTTTGTTTGTTCAGGAATTTGGTTTGTAACCTGTACTCTCCTCAAATTAGTGAAATTTGTTCTCCCCTACCCGTGGATTAGCTAGCACACATTGTGTTAGTGAACCACGTTAAATTTGTGTTCGTTTGTGTTGATTTGGATTATCGTTTGCATGCTTATGTTCTGACAAGTGGTATCAGAGCCTTTGGTTGAGGTTTTGGGAATTTGCGCTGGACTGAAGTTTTATGCTGAGAAGTTTGTTTGGAGTTTGCTTGATAGCAAGGATGGCTGCTATTAGTATGAAGATTGATAAGTTCACTGGAGAAACAGTTTCAGTTTGTGGCAGATCAAGATGCAAGCACTGTTGAAACAATAGGGTTTGTGGGCTCCGTTGTTTGGAAAATCGAAGAAGAAAAGCGTAGATGAAGAATAGTGGAGTACTTTGGAGGAGAAAGCTCACTCTACTATCTTGCTTTGTTTGGCTGATGACATAATCACCGCGGTTGCTACTGAGAAAACTGTTGCGGGCTTGTGGTTGAAGCTTGAATGTGTATACATGACAAAGTCTTTAACCAACAAGTTGCATATGAAGCAACGTTTGTTCACTTTGCGTACGGAGGAAGGTACATCACTCAGGAATCATTTAGATCAACTCAATAATATCTTGTTAGATCTGCGGAATATGGATGTTAAAGTAGATGATGAGGATGTTGCCTTAATTTTGTTGGTATCTTTGCCAATTGCCACAGTCATATGAGAATTTTGTGGATTCTTTTATTGTTGGGAAAGATAGTTTGTCTTTGGAATATGTCAGATATGCTCTACATACTATAGAGGTTCGACATAAGGCATCTGGTTCAGGTTCGGAAAATCAGGCATCTGGGTTGGCTGCTACGAGAAGTAGGAGACAACAATCAGGTAGTAGGAAGGCGAATATAAATTTGAATTCTGTTGGTTTGAAGGATGATGATATCTATCATTACTGTAAGGAGAAAGGACATTGGAAATTTGATTGTCCTAAGCTAAAGAAATATCAGGAGAAGAAGGAATCATCTGCTGCTGTGGCGAAAGAAACTAACTCTGATTCTGAAGATAGTTTAGCCTTAGTAGTGAATAAACAGGTACATCATCAGGATGTGTGGTATTTAGATATCGCAGCTGATTATCATGTGTCTAAGCAGGGAGTGTTTTTTCAACTTGTGAGCAGATAGATGGAGGACATGTTTCTATGGCCAATGGTGCTATTTGTAAGATTGTTGGAAGAGGCTCCGTCAGGATAAGGACACATGATGGTTCTGTTCGTACCTTGAACAATGTTAGGCATATTCCAGAGATGACTAAGAATATGATATATTTGAGTCTACTAGACAAAAACTAGACCTGGCAATCAGGTTGGGTTGGGTAATTTCGGATTGGGGCATACGGTTAGGGGTCGGGTAATGCTCGGTTGGCTGATTTTGGGTCAAATATTGACCCAACCTATTCGGTTTCGGGTTGGGTTACGGGTTATTTTGGGTTATGAGCGCTCTCAGAAACAATATCAAACATGCTTCATATTTTCTTAAAGAATACAAGTTGTCACATATGCATGACAATAGTTTACCTAACACATGTCAATTAACATATTGTCAAATCCTCCCAAGCTAATGAAATGAAATACAAATTGCGAAAATTATCAAAAAACAATCACAAGAGTAATACTACTGCAAGAAATACTTGATATTTGATTATCATTAAACGCCACACATGTCATTCAAATTCTTGTGAATTTTTTCAAACATCTCACCAATTTGTGAGTGATTTTTTTCATTTTGGGAGTGATATATAAAATGCAACGGGTCTAACGGGTCGACCCGCTAACCCACCCATTCCAACCCAAAAAATCACCGGTTATCGGGTTCGGGTCATTCAAGTTTCGGGACATAAAAACTTCTACTTTTTGGGCGGGTTCGGGTCGGGTTGTAATATGCCAAGTCTAACAAAAAGGGTTTCAATTTCAAAAGTGAAGGTGGAGTGATATATGTCGACAAGGGTTCTAAGGTGATTTTGAAAGGTGTCAAGCGGGGTGCCTAGTATAATCTACTAGGCTTTGTTTTGACGTGTTCTGTTGGTGATGAGTGCACCAAGCTGGTTCTGAATGGCAAGTCGCAACACGAGTTGGATTTCCCGAATGGTTTGAGTTGTTGACCGCCCTTAGGGGCATTTGGAGGCAGGGGAGATCCTGGTACAGTAGATTTGGAGGAGTCAAGTACTTTTGGCAATTTTGATTGCGTTTGAGGTTGGCGATCTGCATCGCGTTTGAGTTTGATAATATGCATCACGTCTGGGTACATCTGGCAACTTCGGTTGCGTCTGGTACATCTAGTATTTGGCATAGAATTCAAGTCAAGGTGGAGATTGTAAGAATATGATTTGAATTTGATTTGGGTTTGTGTTTTGTTTTGACCTTTTCCTTGTATGTTTGGGAAAAGGTGTTTGGTTTTCTGTTTGGAATTAGGAGAAGAGTTCTATAAATACTCTTCACGACCCTGATCTGTAGTAAAGTCAGTCAGGTTAGTTTGTTTGGTTTGTTCGTTCATTCAGGAATTTGCTTTCTAACATGTACTCTCCTCAAATTAGTGAAATTTGTTCTCGCCTGTCCGTGGATTAGCTAGCACACATTGTGTTAGTGAACCACGTTAAATTTGTGTTCGTTTGTGTTGATTTGGATTATCGTTTGCACGCTTCTATTCTGACAATTACTATAAATTAGGACGGGTAGTTAAAATTAGTATAGTGGTGGGATTAGGTTGAAACTATAAGGGGTGTTAGGTATAGCTCCCATCAATTTTGAAATATAGGTAATATTACATGTAAATTTTGTACAAATTTGGTAATTAGAATCGTCAATAAGGCTTTAGCCTCCTTCCAAACAATAGATCTAGCTAGTGATTGCACCAATGTAACTGATTATAAACCATTGGTTGTAAAAATCCAGATCGTTGATGG